CCGCCCTGACACCACTGCCGGCCTGAGTTACGAACGCCTTTTCGAACTCAGGCCCTGACACAGTCGCTGAAGGCCTGTTTTTCGTGCCTTTAGGAACTCAAAACATGCCGCGTCCACCTTTGTTTCTAAATTTAAAAATATTAATAATAATCAAATTGAAGAACATGAAGTATCTCATTGGGTGGAGCCCTAGTATCGGCTCATAGCTATGAGACCTTTAGAGTTCTTTTTAGTACATAGTGAGAATGGTTCGCACAGTAGTTCACAGCTTGTGTAACAAAGTTCTGCGCAACAAAGGCGTGAGAGAACAGTTGGGTGAATCTCTGGGTATGTAGTTGGTGGTACTTTGAATGAAACATTGAGAAATAGGATAGCCGGCATGCTACTGGGGTTAGTGCTCTGAGCAATTGCTCATCTAGCTAGGCTGCTTTTCCTTTTCCTTGTTTTGGTTTTCTTTTTGTTTTGACTAACCACCCAAGACAGGTCTTTTTGCTGTGGTAGGGATGGGTTTGGCCGGGAGTGCCTTGCCCAGCCCAACAGACCATGGCATAAATGTAAGGGACGACGGACCCGGTTTCCGGCAGAACGGGATGGTAAGTTCAAAAAAAAAAAAAAAAAAAAAGAAGAAGAGAAGAAGCCTCAAGATCAAGCCCACACAAAAAAAGAAAAAAAAAGAAAAAGAAAAGAAAAAAAAAAAGAATGAATGACACTCACCTGTAACTGTTTGTACATCCGACCATGAGCTCAAACCAAGGAGGGAGGAGGCATCAGATGGCCGATTAGCTCTGTGAGTGGCCGGACTGCCCTTTTTTTTTTTTTTTTTTTTCCAATTCTTATTAGAAGTTCTTGTCTTTGATACCGGAACGTTCCAAACTACCCATCTTCCCCCTAATACAACGTACGGTCATTACTTTAGCTGTATTCGAGGCATCTTTCAGTCTAGATACAGCTATAATGACCCTATGTTGTATTCGGCGTAGCCAGAGGATGAGATAGATGAGTACTAGGTAGCAAGAAGATGAGAAGGATGAGAAAAGAAAATACCTTTTTTTTTTTTACTTCTCTAATCATATTAGGGCCCAGTGCCCAAGGCATTGAAGACAATGTACACAAAGTAATAGGGTTCCAGATTCAGGGGCTGCCAGGTCTCCAATCCTTCTGCATGAGGTGGATTCCCCTCCCCTGTGGCAAATGGTCTCTGTAGTCCAAGAAAAAGAAAAAATTGAAAAAGGCCAAAAGAACTACCACAAAACTAACAAAAATCTAACCATATATGATATACCCACAGGGGCGCCTACGAATTTCAGAATTAACTCCAAGAAATATCCATTAACAGAGGTTACAATCTGAAAATTTACCTAAAAAGGATTTAAAAGATTAAAGGCTGCAAATGCTACAACTATTGTAGGAAAGGTCCAAACCAAATGTCTCCAGCTGTACAGGCATCTATGCATGCCAGGGATGGGCAGCTTGCCCAGTGTTGACAAAACCACCGGACTCCTGCACACAGGTTCCTTGATGGGCCAATCTTTTTACCCCAATTCAAGCAGATGATGTGGCGTATGTCTTTCTTCAATCGTTCCATCACTTGCGGGGCCGACGGGAGGCCTGCAGATCTTTATATCCACAGCATTTCGTTGCGGCCGCCATATTTGCCACAGAATAGCCGCCCGGCCTGACTGTTTCGTAGATATAAGTTTGCGGTTTGCCGTACCCAGCAGAATAGCATTGGTGGATCACAAATCTCCCCATGAAGCCGGAAGAGGGCAAGCGGCGTAAAGTTTGACAATTGTCCAAATAGATTGAGCATGTTTGCATGTGGCCCAAAGATGTTCCTGATCTTCCACCAAATGACCTCCTGAAGAGCAGATAGTGAAGAAGGGAGAACCTTGTTTTGGTCGACGGTACAGGAAGGCAGCAGTCGGTACGGCATTATGCAGAATAAGCCAGAGCAGGCCAGCATGCTTAGCTACAGCCAGAGAAGGCAAGAAGCGCCAGAAGGCGGTGAGGTTAGTTTGATGGATAATCAGTCCATATTTGCGCCATGTAGTAATGACAGCCCAATCAATATCTACATCAGGCAAGAGTTTGGCATATGCCATGCGAGCGGAGTGTTGAGTAAGGGGGAGGGTCTCATCAGACCGACGAGGATCTGACCAGTACCAGTCTCTGGGATCAAGGGTAAGATCTTTTGCTGCAGTAGCGGTCCGATAGGGGTAGTAATGGACTTGCAGTCCCTCTTGATGTTGTATGACACTGACTCTCTCTCTGTCTCTCTCTCTCTCTCTCTCACTCTCTCTCTCTCTCTCTCTCTCTCTCTCTCTCTCTCTCTCTCTCTCTCTCTCTCT